CCGAGGTCGATTTTACGGAGCGGGGAGAGAGCCCGGAGGCCAGGAGAGCTGCGCCCAGGAAGGGCAGCAGGATCCCGGCCAGCAAGCTGACACCGAAGAGACACCGAGAATCCCCCAAGAAATCAGCTGAGGATGCGGAGAGGGGTCCCACGGAGCCGTCGCCTCCCCGAGGCTCCCCCCGGCTGGGTCCCGTGCTCTGGGACAACCCGGGTCTCAACCCCTTCAGTGGCAGCTCAGCGCTGCAAAACTCGCCGACTCTCCCCAAGGGCTCTTACCAGTTTGACCCGGATAACTTTGACTCCATGGATCCGTTTAAGCCCACCAAGACCCTCGCCAGCACCGCTGCCAACTCCTGCCCCACTGCCGATAACAGCCTCAACGAAATCCTCGAGTCTCAGACGCTGGAGGTGCAGGACGATCTCGTGAAAGGCAGAGACTCCCCGAAGAAGCCCAAGTCGCGCCTGATAACGTGAGTGCTGGTGCGTGCGGAGCGGGCGGCTGGCGGGGGGCTGGCAGCCCCCTCCGTTCCCCCGTGAGCGGGCAGAGCGGCAGTGGTGGTGATGGTGGTGATGGTGCTCCTGCTCCCGTGCCTTCGGAGCGAGGCCAAAATACCGACGTGTACCTCGGGTTCTGCTGCCCCCCCGGTTTTATCTGGCCCCTTGTCCTGGCAGAGGGGCAGCTCCCCTCTCTCTGCCGGTGCCCTGGTCCCTCAGGAGTGGATGGGAGGAGAAGGATGGGTGTCCCGGAGCGGTGCCAGTGTCCCGGGTCCCAGACAGAGAGGGGAGGGCTGGATCAGGACCCGCTTGGCAGGATCACCTCTTTGGAAAACCCCTTGGGGCTCCGGCTCGTGGGGTCGGGGTGCAGGCACTGTAGGGTCGAGGAGTCAGAGCAAAGCTGTAATGGAGGCTTGAGCCTGTAGAGGGTTTGCCAAGCACACAGGAGGGTTTGTAGGTCTCCTGGAGCTTGTGGATGCAGGTCTGGTTGATCAGATGCTGCTGGGACATTTTGTGAACTGCCACTGAATTTCTCTTGTTATAACAGGGGAAGAGAATAGAGATTGAACAGGCAGATTGTTTGTTGCTTTTACCACATCTGCACAGGCAGTAGGGAGCTTGTTGTCCCTTGCTGAACTATTTAAGTGCATTTTTAGTTCCTGAACCGTGCTATTTAAAACCCCCATATAGATGGTGACATTTCACGGTATCTCCTGGGAATGCAGACAGCATTACCCTCCTCCTCTGGGTACAGGTTTAATCGCTAAACCTTGCTATTTTCTTGGTATTTCACCTGTTGTATCACAAGTGTCCTCCAACCTGTGTCTGGGCAGTGCTGAAGTCTCAGCCTGACATTTAAGACAGCAGCTGCTGAGCTGGGCTCGGCTTTACCTGCCCTCCCTCCACAGGGTCTCTGAGCGGGCAAGGGAAGCAGAGGGGATATTGCACAAGGGAATAATTGCCCAGCCAATTTTGGGTCCTTCCACTATAATTTGTGATCGCGCTTAACACGTGTAATTGGAACCAGTTGAAAGCAACAGCGAGCAATAAGCTTAAAAAGGGAAATTTTAGGAGCACAGAGTTTGTGGCTGATTTGGCAGTAAAACCAAAACAAGCCATCATTCTGCTGACGGAGTCTCCAGTGGGAAAACTAGAGAGTGGGTTTTTACAGAGAGAGCAGATAAAACTTAGCAGGCAAAAATAAGAGTACGTTGGGTGTTTTTCTCTTAGAAATACTTTGCAGAGAGTTGATAGGGATTTCTTAAGAGTTGGCATTCCCGTGTATGACTGTGGGTGAGCAGGAGCTGGTGAAGAGGGGAAGCGGCTGGGAATTTTCAGGCTCCCTCCGAGCAGCACGGGCTGCTCGGGGCGCTCGCCTCCCCGGCAGTGGGATTTGTGGTTGAATCTCACCCTGCCGCCGCAAATAGCAAATGCAGAATCAGAGCATCCTTTATCTGTGCGTTCGTTCCAAAAAGACAGAGCTGGGCAACTCACTGTGCTTCTCCAGATGAGAGTTAATATCCAGGTCTTTTCACATGCTCTTCTTCTCTCCATCTGTCTGTCTCTCTCCCTGTCCATGCTTTGGTGCATCAGGACCACTGAACAAGTGAAATTTCTCTGTTTTCTGTTGTAAGTACTCTCTTCTGTATTTCTTTCTTCTTTTCCTTTGCTGGTTTTTGTCCTCTCTCTCTGGGTGCGTGCTGGCCCCACTCGTCTCCATGGCATGCAGGCTCCTTCTTGCCCTTCGACTCGTGCTCTCTGCTGTCTGATTTGTGTCCCGCACCTCTCAGGCCGGATCCCTGGGGCAGCTTAGCCTGGCGAGTGCCTGGGGGCGAGGGAGGAGAGGAGAACTGCACCCGAGGCTTGCGCCTGTGCTTGCTCTTGCAGCATGCCGACTCGCAACGCCTTTGGATGATGTACAAGTACTCGAAACCGGTGCATCGGCTAACGGAGGGGGGGCAGGTTTCTGTGCAATCCAGGTCCCTGCAAACGGGTAGATTTTAGTCCTGAAGATGAGGGTCTTTTACCCCCCTGCCACGCAAAATCACCAGGCAAGCAGCTGCTGTAGAGGGGTAGGGTGGAAGGCATCAGCTGGGAGGTGAGGGAGTCAGGGGGCTGTCTCCTCCGGTGCTGGGATGTGTCAGATAGTCCCAGGGGAGCTTTGCCCTCACAGCCGGCTCCCGACAGGGCTTTCTTGAGATCTTTGGTAGCTCTCCCCCAAAGCATCCCTCCTGTGCCCAAATCCGGGATGGTAGAGCTGCTCTGTGAGATCCTGGACAGGTTAGAAAGCACGGCTCGAGTAAAGCAGCCTTTGTTCGCTGCCCTGCGACCCGCGCTGCTGCATTGGGGCTGTGCTGTACCCCCGGCAAGAGCAAACCCGCGGTGGGACACCAGTGAAATATCGAGTGCCCTGTGCTGTGCCCCCCCCCAGGGCTTGCTGCTGCCCTGCGCTTCCATCCCACGGGGAGGGCGAGCAGGAGGGACCGGGGTTACCCCCATTTAGTCTCCTGGCAATGCTCGGCGTCTCTTACAGATTGTCAGCCCCCCCCAGACCCTCTGGGCTTGTCTGGGCTCTGCTCTCATGCAAGGAGAGTCAGAGGAAGGAGCATGGGCTTAGTTCCTGATCTTGTGTCGTCCGTCCCAATGCCCTTCTTGTCCGCTTAGTGCCGCCTGCCATATGCACGAACAGAATTAGAGCTGGGCTCAAGCACTGACATCTGTGTCTCGGCCGAGAACCGATCTGCCTTTTTACAGCACGGTGTTCAACAGTGGATGTCTGTCTCTTAATGTGGGACCTGCAGCCTGGCAGGTTTGCCCATGCATTAGGGGGGCACGCAGGCAGCGCCGCCCGCATTTGGGTTTATCCAGCTGTGAACACTGGTAACTCCTGCACGGGCGGCTGTGCGTGTTCTGGCCTCGGGGGCTGTGGGGCAGAGCTGGGGCCATTGGCCTTGGCTGTCTTCTCCCTTTTTCCCCATTCCCTTGAATTACCGAGCTGTTATCTTGGGGCTGGGAGGGGGAGATCAAACCAGCTACCAGATGGTGTGATAACACCGGCCCCAGGAGATGGTGCAGAGCAGAGGTGGGTAAGGACATGGCGAGCTGCGGTTTAGCTGTTCGCATTAGGGCACGATGGAGAAAAACAGTCAAGAGCGATTTTTCAGTCTGACCCAGGTGTGCATGTTAGCGTGCAAATGAAATTTCCGTGTGCCGTGCCACGTTGCTGGGTGTGCTCTGCTGGCGCACGCGTGTGATGGGACGGGGAGGCTGGAGAGTGAAGTGGGTGGGGGTGATTCTTTAAACCCAGGAACAGCTCGCTGCAATCCTGCTTGAGCCTCTGCCCATGTCCCCGCTGTGGGGAGTGCTGAGTCTGGAGGCAAGGATCCCTCCCCAGGTATCCGCAGCGGGCTGTCACACGAGCTGTCTCCGACTTAGCGAATATGTGTCTTCTGGCGGGTTCGGACGTGGCAGCGAGCTGTCGGAGATTGTTAAACGTGGAGCGAGAGGGTGTTGAGAGATGCGGGAGGAGAGCTCGTGCTCTCCTTTGCGTGCCGGGGTGAGAGCCGTGAGGAATGTCATCTCATCGCTGACTCCCTCAGCCCCCACGGGCTTCGGTGGCACGGACCCTGTGCCACGCACGGCCATTCCTGCTGGGACTGTCCATCCGCCCCCTCGAGCCGATTCAAGATGTGGAAGCCCGGTGTGTCAGGACGTGGCTGTGCCCGCAGTCCTGCGCAGATGGACTCCGGCATGGCACGCTTTGAGGAACGCGGGACAAAGTTCCAGGGAGAGCTTCCTCGCTGGAGGGTATCCAGCCACGGGACCACCTGAAAGATCAACCTGAGCTAAACCTTCTCCCATCCGCAAGGCCCTTCTCCTTGGGACAGCATTTGCATCTGGCGGAGGGAGCATTTGAGGCACAGCGGATCGCGCTGGTGCTCTCCCGCAAGCAAAGCAGAGTTCTGTAACCAGCAGGTCTCTGCCCCGGCTGTGCAGGTCTGACGTGGGAGACACGTGGATGCTGCGGGGACATCCCAGACAAACCTCCAGCTGCAGGGACAGGGCGTGAGACGGCCTGGAAATGGTTCGTTCCTGCAGAAAATCAACGTGCACTCAGACCTCGGGATGCCGTCGCACTGGACGCATAGGACGAGGGTGCAGCAAGGGAAATCTTTCTTTGCCAGCTCCTTGGCAATTGCCTCTATCACCGTCAACACCTTGAGGTCTTTTCTCCCATCCTTAACTTCAACAGGAATAAATGCCTCAAAGACAAACCCAATTGCTTCGTAGTCGTGTGTTTTGTTTGCTTGTTCCTTCTGTTCGTTCCAGAACTTGCTCTGCCTCGATATTTCACTGGTGAGTGGGGTTGCTGGCACGCAGCGGGGTGCAATGCTAGCGCTGGGGCTGTCTCCCCTTGCTTGGGCTGTCTCGCACGTGCCCCCACCTCCTCCCCATGCAACCCACGCGAGCCCACACCTCAGCCGGCTGCTTCTCTCTCCCCTGCAGGAGCGGCTGCAAGGTGAAGCAATACGAGACGCAGTCCCTGGTCCTGGACGTTTGCTCTCAGGTATGTGAGATCCGACCCTGGGAGCTGCTTGGCTGGGCACAGGGATGCTCGGGTGGCAGCGTGGGGAGGGCTGGGCTGGCTCAGCTTCGGGCTGGCATGTGCCCGCAGCAACGCCTGACCAAAAGGGCCAGTTCCCTGAAAGCAGCAGCTTCCAGCCGTGGGGAGAGCATCTTCCCCGTGGGCAGTTTCTGGTGGGAAGGGAGGGAGGAGGGCTGTGCTCGGTGCTCACCCCAGAGGGGGAACTTGTCCCTGGGGGTTTCCTGGCCAGGAAACACTCTCGGTTTTCCACGTGCTTCGTTAGGGACCATGTGCGTGCGGTATCTTAGCCCTGTCCCCAGCATGGGCCAGAGCAAAGCACCGAGCTCTGTGGTCGGGTTAATAGATTTTGCGTGTTTATCACTTCTGTCCCTGGCACCATGTGTTTCCTTCTGCCAAAACTTACTGAGGAGCTGGCAGGGAGCAACTTGTCGGTGGCTGCTAAGCCTCCCGTGCTTCCCATGGACTGTCCAGCAACCTGGTTGCCTTATCCCCACGGATTAACTTGGTCCTGCTTAACCGCATGCCTTGATCCTGCAGGATGAAGGAGCGTTGATCTCAGAAATCCCAGATATTGCAAATCGGGATGGACACGCCACCGATGAGGAGAAGTTGGCCTCCACCACCTCCGCACAGAAACCAGCCGGGCTGGAGAAGAAGGGCGAGCCAGAAGATGACCTGGAGTACTTTGAGTGCTCGAACGTTCCCGTGCCGGCAGCGAAGCACGGCACGGAGGCAGGTGAGGAGCATCCCCGCTGCCTCTGGCTCTGGGGACGCGTTGTGTGTGCACCCAGACAATCTCTACAGCCTCTGGCGATGAATTGGTGCTGTTGAGGCAACGCAGCTTCGTCACAGTTTATTTACACCGACAGGGCTAAAGGCTGCCGCAAGTTATAGTGAAACCTCCAATTGCTTATCTGCACTATTTCCATTACGGAAAAATCACGGTACAGGCTGTCTTTAGACTCTCTCGGCACAGACCCCCCTCCCCACGGTCCCCACGGCGCTGTGGCAGGACGTGACTCAGGCCGGCGAGGCTCCCTCCCTGCGGCACACGCTGTCCCAGTCCCAGTGCCCTCCTGAAACTGGTGTTCACCGGCGAGCCGAGGCGAGGGCTGAGCCGAGCAATCGCACGCCGTTCAGCCGGGATGCTCCCAATGCGTGGCCTGCCTCCCGGGTTGCGGGGTGCCTGCTTAAACCCTGTGCCAGGAGCAGAGCTGCTGGGACTCGGTGTCCCAGCACAAGGGCTGTGGTTGATGGAGGTCTCCGTGTCGCTGCAGAAGACCTCCGCTAATGCTCCTGGTGGCATTTTGCTGTCAGTCTCATATGTAATTAGCCTCTCTGACCAATCCATTAAAAAATAATTAAAAGCCAGGCAGCACGACATTTAATCAATAGCAATGTTATAGGTGCAAGCAGGAGAGATCACCACACGGAAGGTTTGCAGCTCTCCCCCGTGCGGGTACCCATTAATCATTTCCCCTGAACGCTGTGCAGAGCTGCAGGCTCTCGGGAGAGGAAAACAGTCCTTTGTCTCTCAAGGGAGGAAAAATCTGACAGTCAACAGAGAGGCTGGGAGGTTTTATTTATTGCTGCTCGTCTCAGAGGGCCAGGCAGGGGTGCACAGGCTCGGTGCTGGCTGCAGGGATGGTGCGGTGAGCTGTGGCATGCAGCCACTGACCAGGGCACAGGGATAAATGGGGGGAAATAGTCGGAAATCTGCAGTCACCAGCATTACCTTGCCTCCTTCCTTTCCTAGCTGGGCTCTCGCAATACGCTTTTCTCTGCGCAGTTAACACATGAATAGCCAGTCATGTCTGCAATTGTCTGAGTGAGGTTCATAAATTATCTCCCACGCTATGTGAGACGGCAGGGTGTCCCACGCCTTGCAGATGGGAGGAGATGGCTTTTATCTTCTCTCCGCTGCTGTTAATAGCAGGGGCCATGTGGCAGCTCCTTTGGAGGGTGTCAAGCCCAGTTGGCGTGGGCTGAGGTTTGTGCTATTCGGAGTGGTCCGAGCAGCTGGGCTTCATCCCAGGGATGCATCCTGCCCGCACTGGCCACCAAAGTGCAGAATGTCCCGTGTGTCTGCATTCCTCCTCCTCGGCCCTCCGTGGTCCCAGGGAATGGCTGGTGTGGGTGGCAGCTGCGGGGACACGGGGCTGAACTGCCACCAGAGGGAAGTGTTGGTTTCCACTCCAAGGAGTGCAGGAGGAGAAGCTGGCAGGGGTGCAGGATGCGTCCTCCCTGCAAGGGCAGGAGCCGGGGACAAAGAAGCCCTTTGGGAGGGGAATCTCAGGGGATGCAGAGACTCGGGGGTACACCTCTGCATCCCGGCAAATCCACATTTGCTGCCAGGCTCTTGCTTCCAGGTAGCTAAAAGGTTGTATTTCCTTGTCTTTAGGCTTTGAAAAGGAGATCTCCAAGCAGATGGAAAAGGATGGGCCTGGCATCTTCCCCGTGAGTGTCTCTTGCTTCCTCCTCCCTCACCTGCAGGGAGGCTCAGGGCGGCTGTACCGGTGCGGTGCTGGAGCGGCTGTGCCGGTGCTGGCATGCGGCTCGGCAGGGCAGTGGGGCTGCGGGACGGCTGATCCCCCTGCCCCACAGCTGCTGCCTGCCCCACCGTGCAGAGGGATGGAGGGAAGCCGCGGCAAACGTTGCTGCTAATCCCAGAAGCGCTACCGGCACCTCTCCGAAATGAGTTTCTTTGGGAGCTAAAATTCTTGAAAAGCCCACGCAGGGACTCGATCAAAATAGCCGTGATTTGCTGGCAGGCCAAGAGGAGCCTGGCAGAGGATGGCTTTCTCCTGGGTGGGTGCAGCCACTTGTGGCATGGGAAGGAGAGATGCTGGGGATGGAGCAGGGCTGGTGAGGAGCCAGGGCTGCGGCCGTGGAAGGGCAACGAGAGCAGACCCTGCCTTTGGAAGGGGCTGAATGACGGCGAAAGGGCAGAGGAGGTCACGGGGAAGGGACGAGCCGCAGGACAGGGGCTGTGTCTCACGTGGAGGAGTCCAGGGCTGGCTCTGACGGCCGGCTGGTGCCTGTGCCTTTTACAAGGGATCCTCAGACACTGCTTTCAGGAAGGCAGCTGACAGCAGAGATGGGGGGATTAATAAAAAAAGCCCTGGCTCTGCAGCCACAAGTGACCCTGGCACCCCGGCAGTGGCACATCTGCATGGGGACACCCCCGATGTGCCCCGAGGAGCCGTTGGAGTGTCCCCAAGACCCCTCTGCTGCAGGGGGGGACCCTGTGCCAGCTTAGCCACCCCTGGCCAAAGCTGCTCAAGGTGGCAAGCAGATGACAATGAGATTAGCAACATCAGCAAAATTAGCTTCTCTGAGACAGATTTAACTATGCTAAGCCCCACAAGGACATTAGGCGAAGCGAACCTTTTGTTTGGTGCTGGGGAGAGCGTGGGCAGACTCTGCTTCTGCAGATGAGCCAGGGTCACCCCAAAACCACAGTGTGGGAGGATTTGCCATGGGACAGGCAGTGGGCAGAGGTTCTTGCAGGTGTTCAGGTGCGCGCCTGCTTTTGAGAGGTGCTGTGGGAGGCTGCTGCCAAAACCACAGGGGGCTGAACCGGCTGCCCAGACCCAAACCTGCACCCAGGGGTGGCTTTGGGGGTGGCTTCTGCCACCAGCCATCGCTCACCCGGTGCTGCGGGCAGCAGAGCTGTGAGAGCCGTGAAGGGCTTGGTCGTGCTTGAACCTGAGCAGCAGTCAAAGCGCAGGGGAGGAGGGGAAAGAAAGAAGTGCTTTAGTGCTCTTGTTTCCAAAACACAGCAAAAGCAGACTGCCTCCTCCAAAGCACTTCTCTATTTATGGCCTGGCAGCCGGTTCCCAAGGAGATGGCTGCACAGGGCTGTCACTTCAGCTGGGATGATAAAAGGAGGAACAGGCGGTGGTGTAAGCCTCAGTTTGAAGGAATGCTGTTCTGGAGGCCTTTCAGGCTGCAGGACCCCCCCGAGGGAAGGATGGGGCCAGCATCCAGGCAGCACTCGGGGGGCTTGGGTCACGGGGCTGAGCTCTTCCCCCAGTTTGGTCCCTGCAGCTGCAAGACTGGTGCAAAAGAGCTGGGCTCTGGGGAGAGAAAGCAGGGAGCGATGGGGGTAAAGCCACCTCAGACCCTCATGGGAACACCCATAATGGAAACAGGAGGGTGCCGGGAGCCCTTTGTGAGCATCTCCAATTTCAGAGCTCTCCCGAACAGCTGGGGAACCGTGGGATGAGCGGGGCTGTCCCTTGAGGAGGGGAGCAGGAGCAGCCTTGGAGCTGGGTCAGCCAGACCCCTGCTCTGCAGCGAGGTGAAGCTTGCTCCCTCCGCCAGCTCCCTTGTGCATTTGGGGTGATAGCAATGCCCAGCAAATGTCCCTGCAGCTGCTGGCAGTAATTTGGATGTGTCAGCTGCAGCGACATCTCCACCTGACCGAGAGGTGATGGAGACAGGCGACCCAGACCCTCGCAGACCCCCCACGTGTGGGTCACAGTCAGCAAAGATCCCCCAGGCTGGAGATATTTTTAAACCAGCCACAGGGAAAGTGAAGGGATGTCAGATGTGAGCAAATCTCTGCTCAGAGCTGGGTCTCATCCTTCCAAAATGGGCTCTTGCTGGGTCTCCTCTTTGGGATGCTGCTTCCCCAGGGCAGCCCGTGGGTGTCCTGCGGCGCAGCCCCAGCTCCCAGCACGGGACTGGGCAAAAAGTGCACTAAAATCCCCATATGGGCTCTGCCGGGTGTCTGCCACCAGGCTCTGAGCTGTCAGTGTGCAGGTAGGGAGGTTCAATGCCTGAATAGAGGCTGATAAAATGGGGGAGAACACCCCAAACGGGGGAGGCAGGGTGAAAAGAAAACCCACACAGCATCCCAGCTGGGTAATTCCCCCCCAGGGCAATCCCGGGCTGTGCTCCATGGACAAACCCCCCGCCGCCGTCACCGGTGTGAGCAGGAGCGAGAGTCCCCTGGACGGCATCTGCCTCAGTGAATCCGAGAAGACGGCCGTGCTCACGCTCATCAGAGAGGAGGTAACAGCCAGGGACCCCATTTTTCCCGGGTGGACTCCATTTTTCCCGGGTGCACCCCAATACAGCAGCCATCCCGGGGCTGCCCCTTGCCGGACCCCGTCCCCGTTGCTGCTGTGGTGGGGAGCGGGGGCAGCTCTGCTTTGCCTTGGGGGGGGGATCTGGTCCCCTGCACATCGCAGGCACGGGGCAGCAAGGGAAACCACGCAGAGCACGTTCCAAGGGTCCTGTGTCTGCTGTGCAACCTAGATAATCACAAAGGAGATCGAAGCAAACGAGTGGAAGAAGAAATACGAAGAGAGTCGCCAGGAAGTCTTAGAGATGAGGTAAAAGCCTTCTCCTCGCGTGTTCGCCTGCCTGCTCCCCTGCGCGGTGCAGCGCTGTGCTGTATTTTCCCTGTTGGGAGGTGGGTTAAGCGGGGCCGTAATGGGATGATACGGCTCGGCAGTGTCGGGATGGGACATGTTAGGAGACATGTACTTTTTGTGCTTGGGCTGCGTTGAGCCTGCCGGTTTCTTTGTTGCGGGAATAAAATCCCATTAGCCACGCGGGCCGGAGCGGCTGGAGGGAGGTGTTAGCGTAGAGCAGCAATGATGGGCATTGCAGCACCAACGGCTGGGGCTCTGCAGGCAGGCTGCAGCTTGGGCTGCCTTTCTGGTGTGGGGAAGGGGCAGCACGGCCCCAGGGCAGCTTGCTGGCAGAAAAACTCTTACCTGCTTTTTTTCTCCCTTTCTTCTAGGAAAATCGTGGCCGAGTATGAGAAGACCATTGCCCAGATGATAGGTAAGGTGCTGTCGCCTGGCCGGGCGTGCGGGGCAGGGAGCTGGCTGCCGCAGCCGTCCCCGCTCAGTCACCATGTCCCCACTGTTTATTCTCCATCACAGAGGATGAGCAGAGGACAAACATGACATCTCAGAAGAACCTGCAGCAGCTCACGATGGAAAAGGACCAGGCTCTGGCAGACCTAAACTCAGTGGAGAGGTCCCTGTCGGATCTCTTCAGGAGATACGAAAACCTGAAGGGTGTCCTAGAAGGCTTTAAGAAGGTCCTTACCTTGGTTCCCTCTTTCTCCTTGCAGCCCTGGTCCCTGGACACAGTTCCTGTGCAGTATTTGCCCCACTTTGTCCCGTGCTGCAGCACTGTGGCTCTCCCATCCCACGCAGTGCTGCTTCAAATGCCCTGGCCCTTGCTCAGAGGACCGCTCGCTCCCTTTCCTCTGCCCGCTTTCTGCTAAATGAGCAAAGAATCTTTCAAATGCCAGGGGAAGCCAGTGCGGGGAGACCGGTTCTCCGGCTCTTCTCCGCTCTCCTCCCCGCCGCTCTCCTGAGCTGCCAGCAGCGGAGCATCGTGCCCTGGGCAGAGCTGCAGCCAAGGGAAGAGCAGGTGCCAGGGTAGAGCGCCCCGAAAAACCCTGCCTCCTCCTACACACCGTTTTTCCATGCTGTTGAGCTTGATAAGGGGCTCCAGCATAAGGGAGAAGCTGGGTCTATTTAAAGCCTTTTTCGTTTAGACTCAGAACAGGATATATCATCCTGTCAGAGCAACATCTCAGTGCTCAGTCTCCATGCAGATGGATGTACTTTTTTTTTCCAGAATGAAGAAGCTCTGAAGAAGTGTGCTCAAGATTATTTAACCCGGGTCAAGCAAGAAGAGCAGCGGTATCAGGCCCTGAAAGTCCACGCAGAAGAAAAACTAGACAAGTAAGGTCATGCATGAGATTGCTGGGTGCTTAAAGACCTTGTAGGGCAGTGTCTCCATTTGGCTTTCCTGAGGTTTGAAGGCAAGAGCTTATTGATGTGAAAAGCTGCCTCTCACACCCTCAAGCTCAAGTGACTTTAAATGGCTGTAAGTAAGCCAGCACAAATCCCTGAACGGATTCTCTGATCTCTGCTTAGGTTTTTTTTTTTAATGGAGAAACTAAGGTTCACAGTCTATTTACAGTCACTTAACAAGTTCCCACCTTTCAGAGGGCTCCTGTTTGTGGTGCACGAAGGGGTCGTGCAGCTACCAAGGCTCGGCTGATGAGCAGTAGCTCACCGACACGCAGTATCCCCAAGCGAAGCGGGTGAGGAACTGTCTTAGCTTCGCTCTGAGAAAGCAGAGTTTCCATACAGGAGTTTGGAGGAGCTGAATCAATCCAGTTTCATCCAGGTTTTCCGTAAGGGAAAACTACCTCTGAGGCATCCAGGCGAGCAGGAGCCGGGCTCTGCCGATGCCGCGTGGTCTAACGTCGCGCTGCGGTGCTCCTGGCTGCGCCCAGACGTGACCACCGTCCCCTTCTCTCCAAACCCCACCGCAGAGCCAACGAGGAGATCGCGCAGGTGCGCACCAAGGCCAAAGCGGAGAGCGCGGCGCTGCACGCCGGGCTGCGCAAGGAGCAGATGAAGGTGGAGTCCCTGGAGAGAGCCCTCCAGCAGAAGGTAATGCGCCCGCCCTGCCTCCTCTCTGCAAGCTGCGCTGGCTTTTGCTCTGAATTTCCAGTTTGCTGCCCTGAGCATCCTGTTGGTGCTGGAGGTGTCCTTCAGATTTTTGGCCCAGAAAGTGTTTTGTGGGTTTGGTTTTTCGGGTATTTTTTTTGTTTGCTTGTTTTGTTTGTGTTTTGTCGTTTGGGTTTTTTTTTGTTGTTGTTTAAATATGCAACTGCGTCCTCTCGCGAGGAAGGAGATGCAAGCTCTGCCCAGGTGTAGGGATGGCTGCGTGCAGCGACGTGGCTGCCGGTTCAGGGCTGGCATGCGTTTGGCTGTCTTGGAGCGTGGGCAGAGCTCGCTCACGTGTGCCCGCTAGCAGAGCGTGGTGGGCTGCAGCTTGGTAGCTGCAGGTCTCTGTGCAGCACCGGGGGCTATTGGGGACGAGGAGGGGTGAGCCTGGGGGTCCTCACAGCACCTGGATAATAATGCACAGAGGAGCTTTCACTGGGGCAGGCGTGGGAGCTGGCTGTCCCTTCCTGCGCTGGCTCGGTGGCAGATGGGTCTGGGTGTTCCTGCATCTGTGCCGCTGCAGGGGTCCTCAAGGTCTGCTTTTCTTCCAGAACCAGGAGATTGAGGAGCTGACCAAGATCTGCGATGAGCTGATAGCGAAGCTGGGAAAGACAGACTGAGTCTCACCGCCCCTCGTCCAGCACTCCGCACTTGGCCGCTTTTCTCGTAACGTCAAGCACCTTGCCTTATCACCCAGGAACCCCCCCCCCAGCGGAGAAGCACACGCGTCCAGCTGCCTGCTCTGCTTGGCTGCCGGACCCCACGGCCCCCCACGCAGAGCCGGTCCCCACGCTGTCCCCGTCTCTGTTTCCCAAAGGCTCTGGGGCTGGGTTCCCTGCGGTCAGGCTGGGCGCGCGTGTCCCTCCTGGGGTCCGCAGCAAGCGGCTGCCGTGCCGTCCGTCTGCACGGATGCCACCTCTCAGTTGGGAGGTGACACCCCAGGGCTCTGTCCCCCTCGGCCGGGCTGGGTCTAGTTGTGCCCCTACATGCTCTGTCACTTACTGTCCTCACGTACTTAATTGCATGGGTCCAGCCACACGGTAGGTCCTGCCCGGGGACGCGGGTGATGCCGGGGTTGGAGCCGCCAGCCCTTGCGCTGGGGAAGGGGACCTGGCATGTGGGTGCACGGCTGGGGAGGCAGTGAAGGTGCCCCAGGCACCCCTCCACGGGTGGTTTGGGGCCACCAGCGCGGATCCCCTGTAGATCGATCAGTTTTGGAGGAGGCGGCAGTATTCAAGGGGCTGGTCCCAGTCTCTGGTACACGGGGGAAACACAGCACAGCGCATCCTCGTCCCTGGCTGTGCCAGCCTTGGAGGAAGGAAGCCGAAGTCTCTGCATTCGTGCACTTTATTAGCATTTATGAGCGCTCAGGCTCTCTGCTCACTTCTTCCAGTCGGGCACGGTCCTGCTGCACATCTTGTTCCCCCAGGAGCACGGATACGGCCACTTAAGCAGTAGTAACTTAAGTCCTCTCAAAGGAGAGCCCGGCCAAGGGGAGGGCAGAGGGCAGGAGGCTTCTGCGCCCAGAGGTGTTTGAGAAACGGGGGACATGTTGGTTCTGGAGAGCAGGGACTTGTCCGTCCGTCTTCCCCGTGGCTGTCCTGCCCGTAGCCCTAGCACCTCCTAAGGCTTGTTAACGTGGGGTTTCTAGTCCGCTTTAAAACGTGCAAAGCCAAGCCCCTCGCTGTTGGCTCCCCATGCCCTAGTGAGATTAGTTCACCACTTTGGATGTTGCAGGAGAAAGGAAGCAAACCCTGAACTGCTTCACAATTCTGCTGACTTAAGGCTCTTTTCCCCAGTCAGTACAGGAAGGCAAGGAGGAGTGCAGTACTGCCCTGGGTCTTGTGCTGCTGTGAAAAATGCCCTTACGGCACTGAATATTAAGAGAACCAAACAAAAGCCAGCCTTTACAGGCAAAGGCAGATCCAGACAGTAGTAAAATACACTTTGAAATCTCTCTGGATGCAGCCCAATCTGACTTTCCATGCAGGCTGGCTGCCTGCTCTATTTCAGAGGTGTTTACCGGACGCGCCAAGCTCCAGCAGAATTGCTGAGGTTGCCTTTGCACTGTGCTGGGAACTGGGGGGGCTCTGGGGTGATACGATGTGTTTAAATCCATGCGTAGATCCTGCGTGTGCCCTCCTGGTAACACCGTTGCAGGAACCAGCCTTGCCCGGTGAGTTTTGCTGTTTTGCACGCTGCGCATTGCCGCATTTTCCTGGCTGCGGTGCCCTGGGCGAAGCGCTCAGCATCCACGGGCAGTAACCGGTGCCGTGGGCCGGGCTGTGCCGTGGGCTGTGGGTGCTGCGCCTCGGGGTCGGTGCAGAACCATCCCGTCCTGCACAAGGCAGATCGATGGGATCGGGCAAGAGCTGCAGTGGCGGAGGATTCTCTACTATCAGCTTGAACAGTTAGTCGTAAAGCATCAAATAAGGGAAATATTTGCTGTTTGGACTGTTTCCTACCCAGCCTATCTAAGACTTTCGCAAACCTTTTTGCTGCTACCTTTTTGTAAAAGATTTGAGCTGTTTTCCTTCTATTTTCTAATTCCCTGTGTTGAGCATGCAGTGCAAACATCTGTTTAAATCAGAGCCATACACTTGATATATATTTTGTTAGTTATATTATGTATAGAGAGAATTTATTATACACTTAAGCAGACAAAGATGCCGGCAGCCTGCTCTAGCGCACAGAGTCCAGGCCTGTTCACCGTGCTCCCAGTTATCCCAGTGAACGGGCTGGTAGCTGTGCGGTAGGGAAGCTGATGGCTGATACTACTCAGAGCTGTGCACCTGCAGCTGTGTGCTGAATATTCACTCCTTTGCACACCTGACAGAAAGGAACAACATTTTTTTCCTGGTTTTTTTTTTTCCTCCCCCCCACTTTGTCCCTCTAATGGGCTGTTAGAAAAGCCTCTGTCAGATGATCTACAAAGACTATTTCTGTTTGGGGAGTCAAAATGCCAGCCCCAGCCCACTGGAGCATGACTCCCCTTCCTTGCATTTCATCAAAGTTTGGGGTTTCACAGACTATAGCACTGCTCTTTTCTTCTTCTCTTCACGTGTCCCACTCCAAAACAGCATTCCTGCCTGGATGTGAGTGACCCTTTCCTGGCTGCAGTTAGCTGGGCTTCGGCAGGGTGGTGGTGACAGCAAGGAATGACCCCCAGAAGGTGCTTTCCCTTTGGACCTTCTGAGAGTCTGTACAGGTCAATTAAAACCCTTGAGAACTGGGGATTTCTTAGGGAGTTGGGTTTTTCTCTTTGCAACCCTTCAGAAATGGAAGGGAGCAGGTCACCAGAGAGCAGCCTTGCCCAAGCTCTCGGAGCTTATAAAAAGTTGATTTGGGGCTAGTTTCTGGTTTGGCACGCAGGTTCGCTGTCGTGCCCGGAGCAGCGCTCGAGGTCCCAGCACGAGGCTGATGGAGCCGAAGCGCAGGAGGCAGGTCCCGGGAAGGGACCGCAGGGCACAGCAGCCCTCATCCTCATCCTCTGCACGGGGACACGCTGCGCAGCGTGCCGGCTTTACACGAGGTATGAACGCCCCAGTCCATCTGTGTGAATGTTCACTTCCCGCTCTACCTGAAGGGATGAAATTTGGGTTCTGCGTTTGCTGTGGCCAGCCAGGGCCAGGTTTGCTGGTGGCAGGGGGGGTCAGCTCCGAGGAGCAGAGCACCAGGCTCGGGGCGTTGGGCTCACTGGAGTCTGACCTGAGCATGTCTGAGCTCGGTCTCTCTTCAGGGGGGGTTGTTCCGGCCCCAGAGGTGGCAGAGAATTGCAGAAGTTTTGATTTCACCACTCGGCACTTCCCCAGACCCCCAGCCTGCGTACATGCGGCAGTCTTCCCTCCCAGGCAAAGAGGAGCCGCCTGGAAGGCCAGGCTGGCTGTGGAGAGCGGCTCCCATGGCAATAATCCGCTCTGGCAGTATCTTCCCTGTCTCTGCTCCCTGGCATCTCCCGGTCCCACTTTCGCTGCCTCTCTCGCCCAGCGCTGTTGCGTTCCTGTGCCTGTCAGCGTGCACTTCCAGTCTGGGCAAAGAAGATTCCTAAGGAATGATTTATTAACTATAATATGGTTATAGTTACATATATATAAATATATATATAATGGTTATAGTTATATATAATAGAAGGTGTGTGTTTGTAACTGTAAACGGGCAGGACTGTCGCATCTCGCGGAGGCGCGACGCCGGCGCTCGCTAACCGGCGGCGCGGGGGCTGAGCGGGAGCCGGCGGCAGGAGGGGTGCACGGTGACTCCCTCGCACCTCTTGTGAAGACAACGGCGTTCGAACGCCGCCCTTCCAGCCAAGATGTGTTAACCAGCGCAGGGAAGCTCTGCGGATACCCATGCGTCGGGGTTGCAGCCTGGTTGTGTTTGTTGTCTTTTTCTTGCGGTAGAATTCAAATATTCCTTTCTGACAGCGGCGGGTGCCTGCCCGTAAGCCGCTAGTGTTGCCGTTAGCAAGTGTGCATTTGCCAGCAGATCTCTGTCTACAACGAAGTGCCAACGAGTAACCACCCTGACTGCAAATCGCTTCCACCCATCCCTCCAGCGTGTCCCCCCCACCCCGAGGCAGGAACTTTCTCTGCATTGACTACTACCCCGATTGCTTTGTACCATGTATGTAACTGCCATCACCATCAATTTTATATGTACAATAATTTCCCTTTTATATGTCAGGTAAATATTTGTAAGAGTTATACTCACACAAATGAGATTATTATAATGATTACTAATATATTTTTTCCATGTTTCATTGCCTGAATAAAAATTGTGTTTATCACTCTCGAAAACTTTCTCGGTGTTTGTAAGGTCAGTGAAGGGTTTTTGGAGAAGTTGGCTTTATCTTCCAGGATGGGCCATATTCTGCCTCGTTTTTATTAATGTGCTTTACAATGCGGTTGCTTTCAAATAAGTGTGGTTATCATCTGTTCCTGAAATGTGCATTCATAAACTCTGAAATTCAGACCTGAGGCGACTTTGATGCCCCCTTGGCTCCTACCACGCCGCAGCGATGCTGCCGGCAGATTCCGCCGAACCGTGGTGCAGCCAGCGGTGAGCTCGGCCAGGACGAAGAGCTGAGGGCAGTGGCGAAGTTTTAGGCAGCGGGACTTGGCTTAATCCCCACACTGACCCTGATAACCTCTCGTGGCCTTGGGTAAATCCCTCTGGAAGGATAGGGACCGCCCTGCCCAGTTGAGGGCTGGGGCGTAGGTGAGCGCAGGGACGACTCCGCTGGGCTCCTGGCCCCATTAGGGGTTTTCAGTTGTTCTCTTGCACTTCTCTTCTGGTGGGTTGGAAACTTTGGAGGGTTCTTCCCCAATCTGGCTGCTGCAAACAGCAAGAAAGGGGTTATTCACTGGATGGAGCAGATGGGCTTGGGAGAGATCTTTGAAAGCCAACCAAGGTAATGTGTCTGGAGATGGAGAGGGTTCCCAAAGCAGGCACCAGCAGGATGCGCAGCAGAGCCCAGCCCGGCAAGCGTGGGCAGGTCTGGCCACCTCCACCGGCACCGGGCCGATGCTCTGCCCCGCTCCCATGCCCCAGACCGGCCCATGCCCTTGGGGACCCACGTCCCATCCTCCCCTGCTAAGATGGCATTAGCCAGGGGCTGCAGTAAGTGTGTTATCCCCAGCCCAGTGATCCAATCACCCAAGCAGATTAGCTGTAAGACCTTAAGACAAAACAGAGGCTACGCGACCCGTGCAGCACACTGCTGAAAATGTCCACCCTGAAGACCCTCCTGGCCCTGGCCATCGTCACATCCCTGGCTGGAGAAAGTAAGTGTCCCATAGCTCAGGGCAGGGCTTGGTGGGGTAAATGGCTGTAGCTGCTCTTCTGCTTGCTGGCTGCCCCCATCCCTGCTGCCTGCCCGCAGGCTTGCGTGTGCC